TATGAGGACACTCTCCTGAGACTCTGCCGAGAGCAAATTTAGGGACATCAACAAAGGGCCTTGAAAACACGTACATACAACAATTCAACATCTTACAATGAACCCTAAAGAAATAACAAAATATGCGTATAAAAAATAAAAATAACAATAGCTAACATCTATTGACTAGCATGTCAATGCTCTGGACTCAGCAACCCATTTGTATCTTTTCATTTAATCCTTGCACTGCTATAGAGGCGGGGACTGATTACACATAATGAGAGAAGACTAGGCGGTTTAAATAACTTGTGCAAAGTCAAATGGATAAGCAGTGGCACTGCAACTTGTCTAACTCCAAAATGCATGCTCTTCACCTGTGCTACCCTGCCCATTCACCTGAGTGCCTCCTAAAGTGACAAAAAAATTGCAATCTGTCTGCATATCTGAGAAAAGGGGACTGATTAAAAAGTTATAGCACATCTACCAAAATGTGGCCAAAAGAAATCACACTCCAGGAGAAACTGAATAACATCAGAAAACAGATACTTTATACTATTACATGAAAAAAAAAATCTTAAAAAGCAGTATTCATGCATAGTGTGATTCTAGTTTTATAAACATTTTTATTGTATTATGAAATACTATATTTAAAAGGTGATAGCAATTGATAAAATGGTCAATAAAGGTTATCTCTGGTCTGCTAGACTTATTTTCTCCTTTCTACTTTTTGTATTTCTCCAAATTTGCTATGACCACTTATAACTTTTAATCAGAAAAAAGTTATTTAAAGTATATGCAGGAAGAGAGACACATATGTACTTAACAAGCATGTAACTGATTTTTATTTTTAAAATGTTGAGCTAAAATTTGGAAAGGTTTATCTTCAATTAACATTCTGGGGGAGAAAAACACCAAAAAGTACACACATGGGAGACACTCTATTTTTAGGAATCTGTAAGTCTTCCTGAGTCCTTTTCACCCTTCAAAGGTTAACAATCCCTGTTGCTAGGAGGAAGCAGTCAAGGGTAGCTCTTGGTATGACACCAGCACAAGGTTCCACCACATTTGCTATGAGAAATTCTGGCAAGCTTTCTTAAGGAATCCTAACGGGTGAAAAGAAGACTTTCTCAAAGCACTGGCTCTTAGCTTCCTCTTTCCACCTAAAGTCCCCCAATGTGATAGGCATACACACAGTAAACTCAAAGTGATCAAAGGAAGTCTCTGGTTTTACTTAATTCTAACTCATACTTTCAATAATGAAAACACACTATTCCACTTTTGAGAGACTCTGACAAATAATCCAAATCTTACACAATGCCTGGCATGTAAGACAGCATCTAATGAATGTAGAACAAAGGAATAGCGACCGAATGATTCACACTCAGCCCGAGGGTATAGGAGCCATATTTATTTCATACTCTTGGCTAACCCAGTCTAGTACCGGTACCAAGAACTAATGAAGTGGAGAGTGTGCTCACAAAGAGGAAGAGACACAGGGCTCTGCCTTCAGGTCAGGAGTCCCCGACCTCATGGGTGATGCCTCGATTCCAAGACCCACACTGTGTAACCTAACCGGTCATGAGAATCATGGACACCATTCTCCACTGTTGACTAGATCTCGCACTGTGGTCATTTCTCAGTTTGGATGCTAGTCTATCTGTAATGTCCCCCTGGCAAGAGGCAGCTGGCTTTGAGACTTTCAGCTGCTAGTTATTAGTTTTTCGTGACATTTCTCAGATGTTCATGATTATTTTCTGTCCCTAGGAAAACTGAGGAAGAAAACAGGACAAACATCTTATTTGAGGGCCACTAAAAGAAGTGATTAAAAACAAGATCTTCTCATACTACTTTTTGCTTAGCACAACTCAGCTAAGGTGCTTCTCTTTTAGATTACCAAGCCCATCTAAAATGTCATATTTCGTTTCATTAGTGTCACCTTACATAAAAGTTTGTCATCTTTGAAATCTCTCTGTCCCCTCTCCTCCCCCATATCCAGCTGGCTACAAAGTGCTGTTGATTCTCTCTCCAATCATTTTGAGCCTGTCCTTTGTTCCTGACCTCAGAGCAGCTATTTGGTTCCGCCTCTGATAGAGTATGCTTGACCTGATCTGTTGCAACTGTCTTCCTCCTCCATGTCTTTCCAGTTCCATGATCAAACACATGCTCCACGCTGCTGCCAGCGTTATCCTCCTCAAACTAGCATCCGATCTAGTTACACCTGTGTTGGACATGCTTTTCGTTATCACCCAGCAACCATTAGTTCAGGAAACCACTCCTCCATCATTCTGTTAATAGTCTTGCTCAGTCCACAGGGTTCTAGGGACTACCCTCCCCCCACACACCCTATTCCTCCACCATCCTCACAGAGGTGCCATAGGATCACCACAGACAGGCCCAAGGTGCAGGTCATTGAGATCCATCTGTTATAGGTCATATGACTGACCTGAGATTGTGAAATGAATCACGTGCATGGCCCTATACTGATCAAAGTCCACCTTGGGACCATCTGCCAGAACTGTCAGAAAGATATTCTCTTCTCACTGATCAAGCTGCAAGGACCACCGAGGCTGGACTATGTGGGACATTCCCACAAAGAGTCAATACCAAGACAAGCAGAGGTAACAGATAATGAGAAGCCAGAGAAAAGGAGCGGGAAAGGCTCCAACAAACATAAAGATGCTACTGGAGCAACCAGACCCTTCTGCCATCTTCAACTTAGCAGTTATGTAAGCAAGTAAATACCTTTTATTTTTCCTTGAAACTATTCTGAATTGTCTTCTTGACACACCCAACTCCACTACTTAGAAACTTTTAATAGCATCTTACTTCCTACAGAGACAAAAACCCAAACTCCTTACCATAAATATTCAAGTTCAACGAAGGGGACCATCTCAGCTTTTCAGCTTTAACTCTCCTGTCCCAGCCTTAAGTACTTTCAAAGATTAAAACAGCAATAAGCAGAAGAAAAACAAAATCAATATTCTCTGCTACAGGCACCACAGACCCTGACTTCTGACCACAGACCCTGACTTCTGACCACATGCAACTGCTCATAATACTTCCTGGTTCTGAATTATTCTTCCATTCTCTCCTTCACTACTCAGTCTTCTAGAACCAGCTCACACTAGGTACCAGTATCACGTTTTACATTACAGCTTTCATATGCATGCATATCTCCCCATTACCAGACACTTCGGAGACAAGGAATAACTCTCAAGTATCATTTCTGGCACCTAATAATCTATTTCAGAGACTATATGCTCCATGAATGTCTGTAGCTCTGATCAGAAATGAAAGACTGTCAGGCTCTTAATTGTTCCCTACATTAGAGTTTTTCAAAAATTAACCATACTGACGTACAACCCAGCAATTGCACTCCTGGGCATTTATCCCCCAGAAACAAATTCATGTTCATATAAAAATTTATACATAAATGTTTATAGCAGCTTTGTTTGTAATTTCCCCAGAGGTCCCTTTGTTGGGTGGATGGTTAAACTGTAATACGTCTATGTAAGGGAATACTATGCAGCAATAAAAAGAACAAATTACTGATACACACCACAACTTGAATAAATCTCAAGGAAATGATATTAACTGAAAAAAAAAGCCAGTCCCAAAAGGTTACATATTGTATGATTCTATTTATAGAACAATCTTGAAATGACACAATTATAGAAATGGAGAAAAGATGAGTGGTTGCCAGGGGATAGGCATGGGGATGAGGTGAGGGGTGAGGCAGGTGGGTGCAGCCATAGAAGGCCTCACAGGGGATCCTTGTGGTGATGGCACCACTCTGCATCTTGACGGTGTCAACACCCAGGTTGTGACATTGTCCCATTGCCTAGCAAGGTATTATTATGGGAGGAAAGTGGGTCTGAGGATACAGGATTTCTCTATGTTATTTCTTATAATGGCATGTGAACCTCAAATCATCTCAAAATAAAAAGGTTAGTTGTTAAAGAAATAACCATATCCCAAGTCTGAACCAAAGAGCAGATTCTCAATGCAAGCGTACAAATAATCACAGCTTCATACAAAGGATCCCACAGTGACTAGCAACACAATCAAGTTTCGCCTACAAGAGGCAAGCAGCTCTCTCAAAAAGTGGTAGAGAGTTGTTCTCATCAACATGAGGAAGGAGATTGCTTTACGTATGAAAACTATTTTCAGACACCGGGATGGCAAACGAAATGGCAAATGCTAGCAGGAGAAGTGTCCCTGCCGAGAGCACTGAGCAGGGACCCTGAGCCACAGTCCATCTCTCCAAGTGCACGGCTGGGCTTCCATGGGGATGAATAACAGCCACTGATCTGTGAAATCTGATCTGCTCGCCATTTAGATCCATGTGACTCACTGAGGTTGGCTGCATTCATGTCTAAAAATACAGGAAATCTGCAGCCTCGGCAAATTTGGCTCATTGGCTCATGGGTTTTTGACTCGAACACTGAACATGTAGAGATAGTCTTGTATTTATATCAATCAGCTGCAAAGGATGGTCTGCTGCTCAAATGGCAGAAGCAAAGAGAACCAGAAGAATTATCTGCTTACATACATTTTATCTGGGGGCCACATGGCACCTCTATAACCGGGAGCATGAGATCTGAGGTCCTCTGTAGGCTAGAAGGATGCCCTTCCTCAGGCATCGGGTGCCCTACTACATGCCAGTCTCCAAAAGGGACAGAGGGAGTCATGAGCTATTAAAGACAGAGCTGGTGTGGCGGTCACATGAGTGACCCAGCGCCCGCCACTGGGACTGGCAGCGGCCGAGTCTATAAACGCAAAGGGTGTGGTCCCTGGGACTTGCCATTTTTGGCTTTGTCCAGCCCCACTCAGTACCTCTTCCAATAATTCCTGCAGCCATGACCACGGGTGAGCGAGGCAGCTTATTTCGGGGAGTTATCTCTTGGAACACCCTGATTCCTTTCCAAGGGGCTGTCCATAGTTCCAGACCTGGTGACTTCTCAGAAGTGCCCTCTACATGTCCCTTGGGGCCTGCCTGGCAGAGCCACCGATGCACTCACCCATCAGGACACTCAGCAACTTCTGCACCCTGGAATTGACCCCCACAATTCGGTAGAGTCCTTGCTCATTGATCCCTGAGAAGAGAAACAGTGATGATTTAATTAGAGGCACGTCAAAACACAAGTCAAGCCAGCCTAGGCAAAGGCACTGTTTTCATTTTCTCGGTCCTTCTAAAAGCCGCTCTAATTAAAGTCCCCTGTCACTCAGCTTTGCTCTTAGCGAACGAGTGGGATTAGGTACAGCTGTCTAGGATTTCACGGATGTGCTGCACACTTCAGCCCTCATGTTAGTTCAGTCATCAGGGGGGGAAGAAACCTTCCTCCTCTCTTGCCAAAAGCAGCATCTGAAGAGTTTTGAAAGATGCAAAATATATACTTTTAAATAGGTCATACTTAACCAGTTTTTAATTTAAAAAGCCAAAAATGACATGACAAAAAAATTCATACTACAGAAAAGGATAAATACTTCACAACCTATTTTCACATACAGAATGAAAATATTGAGTCTAGGGAAGCTTTTATTTTGGAGAATGTCAGCCAAGACAGAGAATTTAGAAAAGCCATTCATTTGTAAGGTTAATACTGGTTATAAGAAAAAAGGACCACCTTCATTCAGCCCCAGGAAATGCACAACTGGACTAGGAGGGGTTTACCTTCAAACACCCAAACAAAGAACCAGCAACTAACCCAGCTCAGTACTTTGTTCATTTTAAGTGTAAGGATTAGATCACCACTGTATCATTTACAAAAAGGAACAATTTAGACAAAGTGATAAGAAATGACTTTTCTCCTGTTAGCCCTTGGCGTGTCATATCTGATATGTCCTGCTTCCTATCTTATTCCCCTGATGTCCATTCTCCAACCAGTAGCAAAAGCACACTTCCCCAGGTGTAAATCAGTTCAAACGATCTGTTTTCTTAAAACCTCCCATTGCATTTAGACCACAATCAAAACTTACCGTGCCCATGAGGCCCTATAGGGCTGGGCACAGGCCTGCCTCTGACCGCATCAGTGGCCCCCTGCCTCTGCTCCAGCCACCCTGGCCTTCCTGGGACTCCAACATAACAAGCCCAGGCCCCTGGATCACAGCCTTTGCACAGGATTTCCTCCACCGGGAACACTCCTCTCTCAGATCTTTTCATGTTCAGGTCTCACCTTAAAAGCAACCTCTTCAATCTAACGCACTCCGCGACCAACGCTACTGGCCAGAACCTTTCCCTGTTTTCTTTATAGCAGTTAATAACATCTGGAATTTATCTTTCTTATTTGGTTTCTTGTCCTTCTCCTCACAAGTAAACTCTAAGTACAGCAACTCTGTCTTCCTCACCATTATATCCCAGCACCCAAATCAGTGCATGAGACATGATAGAATGAATAAAAAGATGAGATATACTCCATCAGAGCCACAATTTGGGGGCCAAAACAAAATTTCCTGAAAGCAATGTGGGAAAAGCTGATTTTTCCCACGAGACCTGTATGGGAATGGAACCAACCAATAAAAAACAAGTGGTCTGGAATGATGGAATTTTACAGCTCAAACAGACCTGTAAAGGCATGTACACAGTCCTGCATGGTTCACCCTGGTCATACACTAAGGGATGGGTCCCAGGTTACTCGGTGGCAGAACCATTATTCAGCAATGTGGCGGCTTCAAGGGCTTGAAGTGTGTCTATTCTTTTGTCCTGTGCGTTCCTGGAACTTGACACAATCTCAGCTCCTATTGGACAATGGTTAACAAACCCCAGAGAGCGTGGGAGGTGTGTTCACCTGTGGTCACCACAGATATGCGTGCCCACACACACACTGCAGGAGGGAAATAATTGCTTCCTTCAGGTACTTATGTTAAAATGGCACTTAACTCACACTGTCCTTATTTCCTCTTTGTGCAAAATGCAAACTTTGTAGAAATTAAAACAGCCTGTTCAGAGGAAGAAGCAAAGAGACCAAACCAACTGGTGGCCCTCTTTTTCCTCACTGCTTATTGTGTATACTTTTCAGCTTCACATCAGAAGTCATCCTCTGGCACTATCTGTCTGCATCTATCTATCACACAGACTCTGGAGGGTTTTAAATGATTAGGTTTCTCTCTGTTTTGGCTGCTGAAAACTGAGTGACAAACGGGTGACCCACCTCAGGCACATATATGAACTTCATAGTGAAGGGAAGGGGAATTTTGTTTTGAACTCACTTTTGGCTCCATTTTTATGCCTCTACTTTTGTTAACCTGTATCTCCTGTATCTCATTCTTTTCTTTAAAAATGAAAAACATTTCAAAATGACTGTTAAAAAAATTACCTTAATTGTACCTACTTTGAAAAATTTAAAAACTGCAGGTACGGCAAATAAATAAATCATAGAAGACAGTAAAAATAGCAGAGACCCGCTGAGAACACAATGATACCTGCACAGGTACGGACCTCCCCTCTCCCCGCCACCACCCCAACGAGCTGCTTTCTAACTTGCAATTTTCGCTTACTATATATAATGGAAATATTGGATGTCAATAAATGTATTTCCACTGCATTTTTAGTGATTCAGGGTATTTTACTGCATGGATTTACCACTGCTGACTTGACCGATTTTTGAGACATTTGGCCAGTTGCTGATTTTTTTCACCTTAACAACACCTTTATATAAATGTCCTTATGACTCAACCTGACTTATGCTCTTATTTCCTCAAGATGAATTCCCTACTTCTACTTTATACTCTCTGATTATACTTTACATATCTTTGGAAGCTGCTTTAACTCTTTATTGAAGGAAGGTATTGCAGAAAGAGGCATTTAAAAAATATTAGCACGCATTAAAATAAGTACCTTGGAAAGAGTACTTTTTGACTATATACACAGGAGTAGAGGCTTATAAAGTTAGTTTTGTGTTTTTTTTTATCTCTTCTGCTTGATGCTTTATAGCCTTTATAAAGATGCTTATATTTCTCAACTAGTAAGAGCTATGGATCCTGCTTTAAAAGATAGAACTTCCTTCAAACACATAAAAAGGGCTGGTGAGTTGAGAGGCTGTAGAATAAATAATAGTCAGATCTCTAACAATGGTTCACATCGAATCCAACGGAAAGATATATTTCTCAGGGGTACAAAAGACCAGGGCACTCAAAGCTCCAAACTGTCAGCACTGAGGAACGGCCTTTATGGCAACCTGGGACGAGGGGATGGAGGCCACAGGGATGAACCAGCTTTCCTTATCTCAAAGTCCTGCTCCCACGGACCCGGACAGGTCAGTGTGTGACAGGCAGGGCCTGGCTGCAGTGTCACTGCGGGCAGCTAAGGGCCTGACCCGCTCTTCCTACCTGGATGGTCCCCAGAGAGAAGCTCCCCAGAGCAGGTTTGTTAACCTGGGGTCCGCCGACCCTACAAGGTCCTCTAGAGAATTCTAGGTGAACTTAGACAGGAAAACAATTACATCTCTATTTTTACTAACCTATAACTGAAAATGAAGCATTTCCTTCCATTATGACAGAACCAACAAATCACAGTAGGGTTAGCAGAACCCCCAACTGGGTCAGAAGTCACAGGTATTTTCATAAGGTATTACAATTGTTACAGACACTTTGGAATATCACTATTTCCGAACGATGCTAGTTAACGACCCACCACTTTAACTTGTTCTTTAAAGTGTTAACAAAGAAACACATAGGATTGTATCACAACTATGTTCCTTAATGTTTTAATAACTGAACTTCAGTAACTGGTTTCCTTATAATCCCCATGTATTCAATATGTACGTATTTACAACTTTCTTCCGATTAGCCAAAGAGGTTGATGACATCAAATGGGTTGAGAGCCCCTACTTCAACACGACTCCTGGAAACATACCAGCAACAGCACTTGGGGAGTAAATGAGTCACTTAAAATGGGAAAACAGCAGGTAGCTGGTCTGAGGCCTCCCCAGATGAGTGACCTTGGCAGAGAACAATGCCGTCTGTTGAGCTACTTTACCTCGGGTTTCCACAGCATGGATGCACTTCCTGATTATGCTGAAGCCGATGCTGTCCAACTGCGCAGCTGAAAGAGAAAGAAAGGAGAGTCAGGTTGCTGGCCATGCAAATCAGCCTCCTCGGGACAAAGCCTGACCAACCCAGGATGACTCAGGTCCACGATGTGGCCACATAGCCTTTTAATTTTTCCCACTAAAGGGACAAAGGTGATAAAACGAAATTAGCTGGTATTCACTGAGAGCTTACCATATGCCAGGAGCAGTTCTAAGTGCTTTGTGTAGGCTACCTTATTTAATTCTCATAATAATTCTGCAAGGTTATCCTTAATTTATAGCTAAAGAAACTGCAGCATAACATGCTGAGCACCTTACCGAAGGAATAACTAGGCATCCTTTAAATTGTTTTATTATCAGGAGCAGTAGGACTAGCTACTTCCTGGTTGCCCTCAATACGCATAAATCAAGTGCTCGATAAATGTTGGGTAAGTGCTTGACGTAAATTATCTCATTTTATTCTAGCAAGTACTCTAGGCTGATACTATTATTAGCTCCATATTACAGATGAAGAAACTGAGATCTCACAAAGCAAGGTATCTTGACCAAAGTTGCAGGGCTAATACGTGGGAGACTCGCTCCAGCGTCTGTACCACCTAACTGCTTTCAATGTGACCCTGGGTTAAAGAAAGACATAAAATCCTACTCACGTAACTAGAAAAAGGGAAAAGTGATCTGGAGGAAAATTAAAACAGGCAAAAAACAGAGAAGCTACAAGCGGAAGAACTAAGGCAGCAGAGTTATCCTCTGTGTGGTAAATCAGCAGGTGGTGACAGTGTCCCATCTGCTCCCAAACCCACTAATGTCACTCAGAAAATAAATTATCAACAGCGGCAACTCTTTCCACAGCACAGGACCGACTTCCAACTCGGCAGCAACGCTGGAAACCTGCCAAAATTCATCCCCACACTCTGGTTATTCAATGATAAAGATGTGTGTGGTAATCTTTAAGAACGGGTTCACCTCTGACCTCCTTAGGACATCAGGACAAAACATTCTACAAACTGATGTTCAGAGGGGACAAAGGAATGCTAGAAAGTAGGAAGGCAAGTATTTATAAATGATTTGTTATCATCCTGGGGCAAGAAATTAAACTTGTAAAATATGAGACCTGAGCAGAACTTGAACTCATCTTGGATCTAATCCGAATGAAATCTTTCTCCGATTCTTTATGTATACGGGTAAACTTAGATACAATAAAGATAAAAGTCCTTTAAAAAAAAATCACTAAGCATTCTCCCAAATCGAACTCAAAAGGAATGCTAATTTCCCCAAACTTCTCTTCCCAAAGGAAAGCGTTCTTGTTCTTACACACATACTTAGTGCTGAGTGGTAGTTATTATAAACACACTTGGCTTCTAGGATAGTAAGTAAAGTACCAGAAAAGGAGGAAAACAGTATTTTTCTCCCTAGAGACCAACAGCTATACAAACCATTGCTCTATTCCC